TTCGATGTCCTATTGATGATAAAAACATTTTGAAAATCAACAAAATATTGTAAAACAAGATTATGCTATTTAAAATTCCAAGAATTTTCTAAACATGTCTTTGAGATATCTTTTAGCCTCACATGTGCTGTCTGGATAAGTTATTTTAAAAAATGTTAAAAAGCAGTACATTATCAAGATACCTCAAAATATTCACAATGGCCACCAACTTCCATAATGACTCGTCCTGCTTTAATAGGAGTAACATAATGGTCAATAGCACCTTTACCTCCACCCATACGATGTCCTTGTCCCTAAAACATAATTATTATAGTAAGAAAGTATTTCTTTAGTATTCCATATTGCATGATCTATTATAATTGATCTATTATAATTAAACCTTTTTTGTAACTGGTTGCCACGGTGGATCCACACGCCAAACTGCAAACATTCTTTGTTGATCGAGGTTTCTACCAATTGTTAAACGTATCATCTCGAAATGACCATGTTTCAATCTACCTCCTCCTGTAGCCTATGATTTAAGAAAATGATAATATATTTCTAAGGTTTTCCTTATCACTAAGAGCTATAAATAAGAACTGTCTATGAATACTGTCCTAAAAATAGTATTTAGAATTTATTTTTATTTTCAGTAATATTTTAATAAAATGCTAACTCTGATTGGTTTATATTTTAAGTTGTATTTAAGATGGTCTTAAATATAAGAATCTACTATAATACTAGCTTAAATGTATCAAAAATACAGACTTACAATGATACCAAATTGTCTGTACATAAGGAAATTATGTATTTTTTCTGGACCCCGCATGTACCTTAGTCGCTTTTGCATTTTGGGAGCACGCATTCCTGATAGAAACTGTGGAACTCTTTCCATTATCTTGAGTTTTGCTCGCTCCGGAAATTCAATATCTGATGAGCATATATTAAATATAATATCAAATGAATTTCTTCAACATTTATAATAATATTTATCTATAACTGTGTGATATACTTACCGCCAAATTTTATTGGCAGAGGAAAGACCTTTAAACCAGCTACTGGTGTTATAGATACAGATTGCCATGCTATAAAAATATTATAATGTGAAAAATACCGACAAAAATCCAGAGAGATATTTTTAACCGTATCATATTGAAAATACTTACTGGAAAGTAAAAGACGTCCCACGTTCTTGGAAGCTTGTAACATTTTAAGGTTAAAAAGATATATCTTTTTAGTTTATAGCTATATGAATCGCTGAGTAATTCAAAGCAAAGAAATAATTTTTTCTTGAATCTTTTCTTTTAATTTTTGCTTCAGTTATCTCATAAAACAATATTTGCAAGCAAGTAAATGTATATAAACATTTTTTTGTCTTTTAATTTGTCGAATAGGTTTATATTTCTTTGTATACTAATTAAATCATTAAATCTATTAACTTGCAATTGTACTTAGAATCTTCGTTTTTTCTGCTTGAATGTCTAAATATATTTATCTCATTATAATTGCAAAAGTTGTGGAGATTTCAAGCAATGCAAACAGTGAGCAACAATGAGTTCTTTAGCCACCTGTCGGTAAACTATGTAAATTATATTAATAAAACTGTATATAGACAATTGACAAAAGGGAATCCTAAAATGAGTGCTTTTTCATTTGATGACAAGTCGAGATATAAGTGCCGTTCTATTCTTCTTGATATTCAGAGAGTGATATAGATAGAAATTCACTATCAGAGAGAAATCTGGAGAGACCATCTGGAGAAACCTGAGAAAGGTCATATCAGTTTTTTTTCCTGTTAGGGATTCCACACAATAAGAGCAATAGAGAACAGAATAAGAATTTCAATCTTTCAGAAATCATGTATTATGAAATACGTAGTTTCTGAAATTGGTTGAAATTCTTATTCTCTGTTCTCAGTTCCCTGTTCCTTTTATTGTATGGAGCCCTTTATCGTCCAAATTGCCCGTGTACACTACTGCCAGTACATCCATTTTCAATTTGAGACCTACGTAACTATATACATTTTCTGATATTATCGATAAAATTGAAAGTAGATGTGGTTTGTCTCTGTACTAAACCCTTAGGACAGAAGTATGCCGACTATCCATAGGAGGAATAGTTTAATGGGTCCTTGAACGAAAAAATTTTAATTTCGCACCTTCTACATATATAAATAAAAGTTGTTGAATTTTAATAAACAAAATTAAAAATTCAAAGTTAATTTAGTGAATTTTGTCTTATAATATCTTACAAAATTACGAAGTTATGTTTCTTTATGCAATTTAGTACTTTTAGCCAAAGCTGATGCAGCACAAATTGTTTCACATTATTAAGAAAATTTGCATGTATTTTTATATAAAAGAACATATGTATATAGAATATATTTTATATTTTATATTTTAATATTAAAATATTTTATATTTTAATTATTACATTTTATCAACCTTTATTTAAGTATGAATTATTAAAAAGAACAATGAAAATTGAGACATAATGTTGAAATATTAAAAATACCCGAATAATTACTAATTATGTTTAAAAGAATCATGCAAATAATATAGGGTTATGCCAGAGATGGTGCACAAAGCAAAACGCGAAATGTACGGCGATATCTCTTTGTCAAAATCATGTAAAATACGAATAATTGAATAAACCGTGACTATTTTTCATATGCAATAATATTCTGAGTATTCGAACGAACGTTCGTCGCGCGGCGAACAGGGTGGGGGAGGGTGCCGCGCGGCGCGATGATTGACTACGTCATCACTTTGGCATTCGCTCGGCGACCTCGGAGAGAAATGGATGTGCTTTACGAGTCACTCCGCGTCTCCCGTTAATTAATGAAAATTAATCTACGAACACAAATAACGTAAGGTTGCCTAATACTAAAGATTAATAGGTTTCGTTACACATGCAGTTTTTGCTTTATTTCTTAGATTCATTACGTACATACATAGCTCATGAATATTTTAGATATTTCATGTGTTCTCACATGTATGGTATATATAAAAATGAGATTCTTATTATTTCATATTGTAGCTTTTTCACTTTGAATTGTATAATCCTGTCACTTTCGTGTTGCTCTGTAATCTTAATACGGGAAAAGTAACAAATAAATTATATTTAAATTACATATTTCTAAATGTATGTGCATGCTATTTAGTATTTATACGTATTATTCCATTTAGTCGAAATTGTTTCATAATTTAAAATAATTTTTTGCATTTATCTTTATTTAAAGGATGTATGATATATTGTGAATCTTTATTTAATTGTAAATCACAAAAAAGAATAATAAAAATTGAGATGTTGGGATGTCAAAAGCACTTCAAGTGAGTAATTATGTAAAAAAAACTACGCTAGTAAAAATCTTTTAACTGTTTGTCTTTTGTCAGCACATTGTAATTGATACGAAATATTTAAAATTAGCCGAAAATTGGAACAATAAAATGTAAAAGAATTTACGTTTTTTTACATTTGGATGTTTCAATTTTTGCCTTCTACAAGTTTCGTTCACGCTTCTGTTACTCTGTCATTACATCCGATTTACGCTCCGATTTTTATTTTTATCAGGGTAATTTTAAATTTCTAAATCTTTTATAAAATGAACGTGAATATGTTCCTCGGTGTACACAATATATAATTATGATATCACATTAAACGATTCGCGCCGTTAAGACTAGATACATATAAGAAATTGTTTCATTAATCGGAGAATATTAAAAATGTGAAGAAAATATTATTTTACTTCGTATTATATCGTTAATATTTGGACAGTTAGACGGTTGGCGCGCGACCTTGGGGTGAAGACGGCACGGGATGGCACGGGGTGGCACAGAGCGGCGCGTCATGTTTACGCGTAGTTACGGCGCAGTCATTCCCTTACCGAGATTCGTACAAACAGATAGTCGTGTCGTCGTGATTCTTTTTTACTTATACTTTTTGAAATCTTAATCGCGAAGAATATCAAATATAATATAAAATATTATACTTTATGAATAATTAATCATACTAGTAGTAGTAATCATATGCGAATATTCATTAAAATACAATATTTCGTATTATATCTAGCACTTTTTGCGATTATTATATGTTTAAAAAAAAATGTAAAGAAGAGTGGCCCGTGCGACACAGCTATTTGTCTGTATGAACGGTATCACACGAGTCGTAAAAAAGCAATGTGAATACTCTTATGCAAATAACGCAAAAAATTCTTGCTTTTACAATAAATATAGTTTAATAATTTAATTTTTTGTGCATCTTTCGTTATACGATTCGTTTAAAAATTAAACTTTGAAACTATTTATTGATAATAAAAAAAACATTTCTCTTTTTTAGCCTTTTTATCTGCTCTGAATTTATTTCACAATAATAACGAATTGCAGACGTGTGATTGATATTCATTTCTAAAAGTTAACCGATTGCATAGTAATATATAATAGATAATAGCTACATATTACATTTTTCAGATTATCTTCCCTCTCACAGCTACGATTTTGACGTGGTGAGTGGGATCAGTACCCAGAGGATATTTACACGAAAAAAATAATATATATATATATATATATATATTAGTAATTATGTTTGGTAAAAACGGGCTAAAAATTTACATAAAGAAACATAACTTCGTAATTTTATAAGATATTTTAAGACAAAATTTACACACTCTAAATTAACTTTGAATTTTCAATTTCGTTTATTAAAATTTAACAACTTTTATTTGCATATGTAGGAGATGCGAAATTAAAATTTTTTCGTTCAAGAACTCATTAAACTATTCCTCCTATCGATACTTTAGTCCTGAGAATTTAGTACAGAGACGAACCATATTTACTTTCGATGATACAATTTTATCAATAGTGTCAGAAAATGTAGTTCACAAACTGAAAATGGATGTACTAGAGGTAGTGTACGGACGATTTCAACGATAGGAAAAAAATCGTCTCTGTCAAGGTTGTATATATACAATATAAGATATGGCAGATAGTATTAAGTTGATGACGATTATAAAATAAAAAGAATTGAATTTATTTTATGCTTTTATTCTACCAATATAACACTATAATATATAGCATTATATAGTTTGTGCACTGAATTAGTTTTCACATGTAATAATTTTATACATAAATTATCATTTCATGAGTCATCAAAGTTTTTTTTCGGTATTTGTTATCAGCAAGTCAAGTCCTTTAAGCATTTTTATTTTGAACATTCTCTAAAGTCTTCTTAATAAATGCTTCCCATTCTTCGGGCTTATTCTTTGTATACCAATCAGTTAAGATGTCCAAAAGATTTTTTTGTTTTTCGGTGCATTTTTTGCATTGCGTTTGCATAGCTTCACCTATAACCCCTGAAATCACAACGACAAATTAAGTTTCATTTTTATCCGTTTTAAAAAACATAAAAGATTTAGTTTTAACATAAAAGATTAAAAATAAAATTCATAAAAATAAAAAAGATGAGAAAAAAGAATATTTGAAAATCGATATTTAAAAATGCACAATATTTCTCAGCATTACTAGCAAATCACATGTATATCAAAGTAAGAGTTTATCTTTTGTTCAGCATATTTTTAAGAAACTTTATTCAAAGAACGCAGCAAAGTGGTCAACCTTTAAATCGATAGTTAAAGACACCGCGCGCACTGTCTATCGCGTTAGATTTTTACTATTTTAATTTAATTTTATAATTTTTCCAATAAGTTATTTTATCATATGATTATATATAACCAATCTATTTGAACACTTTTATTAATATTTGATTATTAATTAACTTGTTTATTATTTGTTTTCTATTTTTTATTACACACATATTTAAATATTTTACATTTTTCATAAGAAATATTTTTACAATATTTATTTGAGAATAATCTATTTTTTACATTGAGAATGTGAATTGTAAATTTAAAATTGGAATTTGACCAATTATATAATTTTAATTTCTGTTTTATTTCCAATTATTAGTTAAATTCTAATTTCCAATTTGCAATCCTTTTTTTTAATGTTAAAATTCATTTTTTTCAATTTTTTCATATAATTGCCGGATAAAATCCAATTACCGATAACAATAAATGATGAATTATTCAATTACTTATTCGACAAATTAGTTAATGGTTAACATTTCTTATAGTTTAATCTTTAATAATCAAAAAAAGCTTTTTAAATTTTAATATACATTTGAAATTAATTGAATATTTCCGTTTATTTCCGTTTACTATACTTTTATTTTTAAATAATGAAATTTAATAAGGACTAATTCAAAATTATTAGAAAAATAGAACAAATGAGAGTACGGTACTTGATGCATAAAAATTCACAACATTAAATGATTAATCAATTAAAACATAAGTATATTTAGCTTGCTTAAAAGTCGAATGATCCACATTTGGAGCCATTTTTAGTAAAGAGTTAGAGAAGAGATTTCCTATAGTCTTGCGTAACAGGCAAATCCCAGCTCAGACTCAAAATCATTTAACGAAATTCACAAGCCAAAGATGATTAAAAAAAAACTTGCAAGCAAAAGTGCAAGAGAACAATTAAGATATAACGATTCTGACTTTGACGCTGTTAACATCGTTCTAATATCATGTCTTTGTTCTTAATTATTAATTTTATCTGATTTAACTATTTTGTTCATTTTATGTTCTTTTTGGACTCTTGCCTGCAGGATTTTTTTTTAAATCACCATTGGCTTATAAATCTCGTTGAGTGATTTTTGAATCTGAACTGGGAATTCTTTGTATATCGCTAAGGATAGCTCCAAATATGGCCGAAATATTCGACTTTTAAAAAAGCTAAATATATTTATGTTCTGATTTATTAATCATATTTGATTTGTAAATTTTTGCGCATCATCAAATATCGCGTTGTACTCTGATTTGCCTTATTTTTCTAATATATAATAATTTTTTATTTCTAATTCAACTTGTCGTAGATCTCTCGTTATAATCATTATTATAATTATACTCGAGAGTTACAAAGCCTCAGGTATTTTATTTTATAATTATTTCCTTATAATTTAAGAAAATTAGTTTTAATTAATCACAAAGCGATAAAGAGAAAAAATAATAATATGATAAATATGAGAATACATTATATATACATTCCGTGTACATTATATATATATATAATGTAAGAAAAGAATTACCAGCAAAGAATTTTGCATCTGCAGTCTTGCATGGTGCAATGCCCAAGAAACAGTTGTAATATTGCGTTCGCAATTTTTCGTTTGCCAAAATTTCATTAATATTAATATCGTCGTATCGATCCGAATAAAATTCTTCCTCTGCGAATACACATGCCAATGCAACGGCGATGATCGTTACGATGAGGCTTAGTCGAGCCATTGTTTCTTCTATCTTTGCACAAACTCTCAATAGAAATACTGAAGTAATCAACCAGCTATTCATTCCATTTATAGACATTAGACGTGGCAAAAAAGTCGTTATGTCAGACAAAACATCTTACACCAATGACAACGTCTTCATTAGAATGCAAGAAATTAAAAGAAGATAACTTTTTGCGAGAATAGAGGAAGTCTTTACAGGAAAGTTTCTTTTTCCTTCATAAAAAAGATAATAAATTACAATCGATTCAAGCTTGAACATGAAACAATTGAAAAATGCAAATTTAGATAAAATTGTTTTTTTTTTACATATTATATATTTTTATTGTAACGTTTCAATAAAACATTTAAAGAGGTATGTTTATATAATGACATAACATTTTTTTATTTTAGTTCATAAAACATACTGTCAAAGTTATGGAAAATGCAGAGACCCCTGTCTCTCAGAAAGCACAGAGAGTTCAAAAAGAATTCAAAAAGAATTCAGTTATTACGTCATTAGTTTAGAATTCATTTTTAGACATAAAAAGAATTCTTTTTCTGAACAATACTGATATAAGAATTTTTTATCCGGAAACGAATTCGGAATTGTTAACATACGACTGAATTCTTTTTGTGCTATCTGCGTTTATAGCATTTTTTGTTTAATAGCTTATATATACCGGGTTGGCAATGTTACCTCATAAAAATAACTCGTTATTTCTTTATTATTTATTATCGTTCTTTTTAAAAAGTAACTCGTTACCGTTACTCAAAATGTAACGAGTCATTTTGGCTAGTCGCTTTTGTTTAGATAATGCGAACTAAACTGAGTCGAAAAGTCCTCTACCATTTTGCAATTTTCGTGATAGTTAACAAGATACTAAATATCATTGATTTTTGATTTTCAATAATTTTTTAAATATTGAAATATTATCAATTTTACAGAAAAATAGCGAGAGACAAAAATTGTTTACTTTCTTCTCATAAAGTTTTGAGAATTTTTTCAAAATTTTTTAATACCACATTTTCTCATGTTGCGTTGGTACAAATAAGAAAATGCAGTATTAAAAAGTTGATAAAAAAATTCTGAAAAAATTCTTAGAGTTTTATGAGAAGAAAATAAATGATTTTTATCTTTTGCAGTGTTTCTGTAAAGTTGATAGTATTTGAGTAAAAAATTATTAAAACCAATATTTGGCAATTTTTAATATTTTTGTTAATAGAGGATTTTTCGACTCAGTTTAGTCCGCTCTATCTACACAAAAGGCGATTGGCCAAAACTTATGGGACATCCTGTTTATATATAATATATATACATCTACTTACTATATATAGCTCATTATCAATTATTAGTAAGTATATATATATGCTGATTTATGAATGAGATATAGTTGCGGACGTTAAGAGATAAAGATCAAATAATCTTTGTCTTTTAATTATAGATAATATATGAATTATTTATAACATGAGGTATATTTCAATTGAAGGTCGTGCGTTGATGATCGGATATATCACGATATTGTAAAAAAGCAGGAAAACTACGTGATGTGTACGTTAGTCATAAGTCTAAAATACAAGGTGCATGAAAAATTCTGAGAATTGCAATTAATCAAGATATTATGTTTGTTTGTTGCGTTTATATTGTTATCACAAAAAGACATTCTTATTTTTTACTGTTGAAATAAGTAAACTTTTCCTACTATAACATTTTACAACTAGATTTCACTGCATATAGCAAAACTAGGAAGTCTTTTTTTCTTTCGATATGTATGGCTAAATTAGCTTATGAAAAAAGATGAAACAAATATATTTCGGTGTGTAAATAATTCAGCAAAAAAACATTCGTTTTTTACATTATCTATCATTTCCTGATTTCAAAGTTCAAAATGCAAAAACAAGATTCTTAAACTATGACCATAATAAGAGTATATTATTTACGACATATTTACATCATAAATGGTTTTATCTAGAATTATTTGTCTTGTTTTATGTCCAATTATCTCTCAAAGGAATTTGCTAATAAGAATATTAATATGCTAATAAGAGATTAATTTAATATTTATTTGTAATAAAAATTAAAATTATGAAATTAAATATTATGATTCTATTCGGTGGTCCTCTTTTTTTTAAACATATAAATATTTTTATAATATAAAACAAAATTTAAAAACATATTCTTTTTAGATGGGTCATCCTTCGTGGATATATTAGCCATGGAAATATCTATCCATGGTTATGTTTCTCAACACGCTTTGTGAATGTAGAAACGCATCAATATATCTTTTATCGGTAGTTTCGCAAAATAAGTGTATCTACTTAGTTCCATGCCATTAGAACGGACGTTAGTGCGCTAGTGTACGGGGTTCCATATCCTATGTAATTCCTATTTTCTCCTTGTCCTTATTTTATGTTTTATCACGAAAGAAAAGAATTGTTTAAAATCGAAATCAATGCCATTAAATTTTTTACTTCGAGAAAGAATTAATGAAAGATTTATTTTTTTCCGCCTTCACATCACTCTGGTCAGGGTATCGATCATATAACTTTTTCTTTAAAGCAAAAACGTGAAAAGTGAAAAATTTTATGTATGTGTGTGATATATATCTACATGCATGCATATATGTAATTTTCATCTTTCACGTTTCCACTCTAGAGAAAAAGTTACACGGTTGATACCCAGAATTCAATGATATATACATATTTATTCCTATCTTTTTTTACGTTGAACTTTGTACTTTAAACCTGCACAGTGATAAGTAATTGATCACTATCTTTTCTCTTTTCTATCATTTTCATACTATAATTATCACACTATCATTGATTTCGTCAAAGTGAAAACAATTGCGATTGCGAATATCATTCTTTAAATCTGTTTGAAAAAAAATATTGATATATCATGATGCTCAGGAAGGTAAGTAATGCCAATTTTTCAAATTTGCTTGATTATTGAAATCACACATTACATCATTTCTTCAATTTTTTTATATTCCATTTTTATGTTCCATGATAGCGCACTGTTATGTTACTCGGATTAATTATTCATTTTTACATTTTGAAATAAAAAATTTTTTCAGGTATTTAATCTAAGATTGTACCAAAATGTTGTACGATCCTTCTCAACAACTGCTGAATCCACACAAGGATATAATTTTGGTTGGTATATTTATGTCTTACAAAATATAGAGTATATGAAGATTTATATTAGACATGGTTAGATGAATAACCAGAATATAACAGTAGAATATTAAAAAAACAAAAACGATTTATATGTTTATATATGTATATGTGTATGTATATATGAGTGTATATATATATATATATATATATATATATATGTGTGTGTGTGTGTATATGTATCCCTAATAACACACTTTATCCAGAATACAACTTGTGCTGTTATAGAATATGTATATAGAGTGTTAGAGTGTTAGTTATATGTATATAGAGTTAAGTATATTGCCAAACTCAACAGAGCGATTCTTTGGTTTATTTCAAGTAAAAAAGTCCATATAAACATCCTAAACGGCTTAGTTTCCGAAATAAGAATCCATTGACAAAAAGCTAGTCTTTATAGAAAATCGCATGGTAAAAGTCTCTGTACACGTTGAATGTGATAAGGATATAATTGTTGGTTTTTCAAAATTCTCCAGATGACATAATTGCTCACATTTAATGTCCTAGCTATTTTCCTTGTGCTCGTTTCTGGATGTACTTCGATTTCATTAAGAATAGCTTCCTCTAGTACTGGTGTTCTAACTGTCATAGACTTTTCAAGATCAATAGTATTCCTTATGTAAGAACTCTTTTCTCAAAGATAGCGGTGAATATTCGCAAATGTTTTACGACATGATAAATTGCGTTGGTGATATCTTTCTGCATAAATACGCCTTGCCTCACGTGAGTTACCATTTTTAAGACCGTAAGCAAAGTGCATATCTGCCATTTCAAAATTTGTAAACTTAGGCATGATGAAATCGATTTTAATGGACTGAAACAATTTGGCTCGAAAACGTATGTACAAGCTAACTGACCTGCAGTAACATCAGAACTGAAGTCTATTTTTGATTTTGTGACTTTGATTTTGACTTTGTCACTTTGTTTACGGTTGTGCGAATGGTAACTCATGTGAAGCAAGGCATATTTATGCAGGAAGATATCTCCAACGCAATTTATCGTTTCGTCAAACATTTGCGAGCATTCACCTGTATTTCGGAAACTAAACCTTTAGGACACATATTTATGGACTTTTTTTACTCGAAATGAACCAAAGAATCGCTCTGTATGTATATCTTGAGTATGGCAACATACTTAACTAACACTCTGTATATGCAGAAATATTCTTATTTACATAACGTGATACATATAAGTAATATGTCTAAGACTAGATAAGCTTGAATTAAATGTATCAAGAAATAGGAAAGCACAACATTATTATCTGGTTACCGTTTCACATTATTTACTTTTATAAACAAGATTGTTCAAAGTACTTCTTGAGTAAGACAAAAAATTTAAACATTTCAAGAGAAAACTGAAATTTTTTATATATAATTTTTTACACTACAATTTTTTGCATATCTTTACATATTACATATATTACCTGATTTTAAAATATGGTTATTACTATCTCATTGAATTGTTTTAGAATTATCAGATACTCAAAAGGAAATGCAAGAGTTAGCGCGGAAGTTTACAAAAGAAGAAATTATTCCAGTAGCTGCAGAGTACGATCGAACTGGAAAATATCCATGGGACATTATTAAAAAGGCGTGGAGTATTGGTCTTCTGAATAAACATATTCCACAACATTGTGGTATGCTTAATTTATCAGAATTTATATTATATTATGTATACATATTTTACTATAAACTATTATAATAATATAGAATAAGATTGATAATTATAATTTATTCTAGGTGGTATGGAAGCTAATATTTTTGATTCATGCTTGATTACGGAAGAATTGGCTTATGGTTGTACAGGAATAATAACTGCAATAGAAACCACAAGTCTTGGAGTAAGTTTATCAACAGTATTCACTTCTAGATCATATAACAATCTAATTCTTTCAGCAAATTAAAAATTAATTTTTTTAAATTTTATTAATTTCCAATTCTTTTAAAATTATATATTTTAATTTATTTAATATAGTAATCGTACATATATA